GGTGCTGAGAATAACTAACTGAAAATGTCGGCGAAACGTCTGTGAATGTACCAAGTCCACGGTCCAAAGTTGGGAATTATGATGACCACGACAACAAAGAACTTTAGACGAAATGAGTCCAACTGTGTGCCTCTGACAAACCGATCATGTTGCGAAAACGTAATCAGACCAATTTAAGAACAAGCTTAGCCTAAAATTAGGGTAATCTTTGTACCTAGAAGTCTAAAGAATCATAATAAGAGTGACTAGAAAGCTATAAAACATTAAGTTTGAAAATCTGCATAGTACCCACAGAAATTTCCCTGTAATGTGGAATTTAGAATATCAGAATATGGTACATATACTTTCAGACACGTTGCCAGATAGCATGCGGTTAATTGGATGACAAACAACGAACTGTGATATGTCTGCTCATACTTTAAAAAAGCAGATCCTACCTCATCCGGCGATGGTTGTTTGAGCCGAGTGAGCAAGCTGGCTAGATCTGACTCGAGATTGGCAACTCTCAATTCTGAAGCCTGTGTCTTCGCCTCAGCCTCAGCTACCCGACGCTGTGCTCCTGATTGCAGTCGACGAAGTCGTGTCAGCTCCTCGAGTTAAGAAAATTAAATAAAAGAAAAAAGAAAAAAAAGGAATAACTTGGGAGAAAAAGTATTATGATATTCGAAATCTTATGAGTTAAGAGATTGCTGGAATGAGGCAAGAGAGGAAAGCAGAAGTGGTGAATACAAAATAAGGACAGATAAAAGCCATCTTGATATGAACTTTAATAAATTATTATATACATAAAAAGATTGAAACAGGAAAAAAGGGACTGAATAAAAAAAAGTCATAGATACAAAGAATAAGTTGGTTTCGATAGATATCATAAGACAATATTGTTGAGGAGACCGTCATTTCATATAATATCCACGAGGAAGGTCGATCTCACCAACAGACGGCGGTTGATTCCCGTTGTACTGCAGCCGTTTGGTTTTAATATAACGTTCAGGTTATAGCAATCCACAAGACATTCTCCCGCGTTTCGGATAAAATCGGACTGACATCATCAGGGCTGGAGTCATTCTTGTAAAGGTTTGAAGTTAATACTAGGTCAGAAGACTGTCCGGCTCTAACATCTTATATATAAGTAAAGCTAAAATATAGAGAGATCGATATAGAATGGTTTGGCCAATTCCCTTCCATATTAATCATGGAATTTTTACTTAAATGCTACAGTGTGTCTGTGTGATAACGCATATACGCACTGGTCCAGGTAATGAAAACACCTGTCATAACCTCTCAGTCTAGGGTCGTTCGGATTTAACAACCCATGGAAAGAAGAGTGGAATTGTGTCTGGTTTCGTTGATGACCTTAATCCATACACTAGACGAGTAAAGTTAAACTATTACTGGGGCGACGGATTGAGTTACCTACCTTTGGAAGGCGGCTCAATACCTCTTCTCTTCAAGCTGTCAATTGGGCATTAATATTTCTTTCTACAACCATTCCTCACATTTAACGATTTCCCTAATCTACCAATTTCATTAGCCTCTTTTATCTAGCTTTTAACAACAGAAGTACTATAATCAGCAAAACTATGCTTATTAAAGCCAAACGACAGTATAAAGCGAATCAGCCATCGGCTTTGGGTGAGATCGATCTTCGGAGGTATTCATCATTCACTTGCATATAAAATAAAGGGTTCCCCCATCAAAAAGGAGTTACAAAGAGAAGCTTAGTTCTGAAGAATCCTTTAATACATTGATACTGGAGTACTTATCCTTTCATTTGAAGAAGTTAGTGGGGGGGATTCGTAAGTTGGCCTCACTATAGAGGCTTACCTTGAAGCCGTGACGAATAGGTCCTCGATCCACCGACCTGCGAACCCGATGAATTCTTGCTGAGCTTTTGTCTATAATGTGACGGACATCATAAGACCAGGACACCATGGTTTATGATAGTTCACCATAAACACAGAGGCAAAAAAGGTGACCTTGCCATAACGGACGAAAGCTCAGAAAGGATTCTTTGGAGTCGCAGGGCGGTGCGCCGAGGACCTATTCGCACTAATCTAAAAACACAAATCTAAAGCACCCCTCCCCAGCCTCCGGTGGAACCAACTTACGAATCCCTTCCACTTGCCTCTTCAAACTAAATGAAAGGTACTCCATCCTAAGTAAGAACTATGTTTGTCTGCTAGGCTGAATTAGCGATGAAGCTAGAGAAAGAGAAGGCCGAGTAAATGGAGGCAACTTAAATAGCCTAGAGTCTGGTTTGGGACAAAAAAGCACTAACTAACTCGTGAGTGTTGCAGACACATATCGTACACAGATCCACGAAGTCAAAACAAGCCCCATGACTATATGATCACACGCTAGTTCATTTATGTAGAGAAAAATTGTAAATACATCCGCTCCCCTTCCTGCATCAAATTCACTCGCATACGTGCATATAGAAGTAGCCGACCAAATCATGGTATATGAGATGTATTAAGCCTATTTCGTTTTAGATGATGAGACTGATAGTGGAATTTTACCACAATGATATGAGAAAAGATGACGTTTTCATTGAATTTCACATAGCCTTGCTATTCGAAAAGGTGTTCTCATCCAGGGTGCCCTGTAATTTCGACCTCGTACAGATAGTATCAACATTCCCAGCGGAAATCACCATGGTAGTACAGCGTGTAATCTCCCCGAACTCTTCTCTTTCGATCATATGATCCGACTCGAGCCTCCAATCCGGATCCCCTCATTGTCTCGTAGATCCGTTCCTTATCTTTCTGGTTGACCGATTTCACTCGGTTCGAGCCCCAGTGTGCATTTGACTCCAGGCGCTATTTCTCAAGGCCCTAGAAACACGTAAATTGAGACTGCCGCTTCACTGAGCAGAGCGCCTAAGCTCTGATTCCCATGTTTGCAAATATCAGGTTTTCCCTTCACGGGTCCTCTCCTTGATTAAACTCATGTTATCTGAGCAAACTGTGGACGCCTATCACTGGTCGCATGCGGCATCTCAAGTCGATTTCTAGTACATTTTGGCCATAACGCCGAATTTCCGTGACGGTTAGTTTATCCGTCTTTCCAACTTCCAACTTTGTACTGGTTTATTCGAAACGGACATCACTCACTAACAACGTATTCGCTTGGTTTTCGAAACTCCCCGCTTACCGGTAGATCCTTGATCCAGGCGCCTCCTTTTTGCTGGTCTTGCTATATTCTTTTTTTTCCCGAGTTTGCTTAGGCACTTTGCAAAGTTATCGCTAACTCCTCCAATCTCCTGTTCATTAGATTTTTCTCCCTAAGGATGTCAATGGCCTCCCTTATCTTCCGCTTCCTTGTGTTGTCCCCGTATGGGGCTCTTCTTTCTGTTGCCTTGTAATTGATCTCGTGTCCAATCAGTGAGATGTGTTCCGCTAGATCTGATCTTACGGAATCCATTTTTGTGCAGAGCCTCTGATGTTCCTTGATTCGTGTTCTAATTTTTCTCCCTGTTTTGCCAATATATTTCTATTAGCAGGCGTCACATGGCATACAGTAAACTCCTGAACGATCCAATTTATCTACCCTTTCATGTTGCATCTGTAGACTTGTGAAAAGTGTATGTTTCTTTTTATCACTTCGATTGGGTAGCCATTGTCGACGATATCCTAGTCAATTTGTCCAGCTCCTCGTCCCAGAATTCTACATCCGTTAGGCATAGGCTTAAGATGAT